CACACACGATTAAATCATTCCTTGTTAAAGATAGGAAAACATGATCTGGGAAAATGTGTACTGTGATCAGGCAGAAACAATTGAACATAATTAAATGTGAAAAATATAGAAAAGAAAGGTTATACTTAAGAGGATAGTAAGGAAATTGGGTGTGGGAGTATTCAGTATGGAAAGTTTATTGGGAAAGCAAGTTGAACAAGTAAAAATATACAGTGCGATAATGAAGTATCTCAAAGAAATAGGAATAGACTGGAGAATTTGAAGTTTAAGGGATGGTTAGTTGTTTTTTTAAAAGTTGATTATTGTTTTCATTTTTAAGTGCTTCACACTCCAGTCCAGTTGGTGGTGGTAATGCACCGAAAGTTGGTTTTCCAACCGCCATAAAATATCAAACGAAGAAGAAGAACTTCAGCAATTCTAGCAAAACAGGCCCTGAAATTAGATGTGATTAACATCAATGTTCCTTTGTGCAAAGCTGAGGGGAAAGCTGTTATTCAGAGTAAAGTGAATGGTATGTAGCAAGAGCAGTGGGATAGTAACGACATTGGCAGACATCTTTACTGTGTGCAAAGAAATGTGGGAGGGAGGAGGTCTAGGGATGGATGCCGGAGAGAAGAGACAGTGCTGACGCGTTTAAAGCCACAATGCGGAACTTTTTGGCCACTAGATGGTGCTCGACATGTAATTTTCACGTCCAGCGTCCCTAGAGGCCACAAGCTCCGCAGCACTGTCGCAAATTAAAGTCAACAAACAGTCAACCGGTCAGCCTCCCGTGTCTTTAGATTGTGTGTGCTTGTGCTTTTACTGTCTATGGTGCTTGCAGTGTATGAGGCGGGCCGGGCAGCCTTGCCGCGCTTAATTCCCTTATAGCAGTCTGCTGAGAGAGAGCGAGCGGGGTGATCCCCGTGGGGATTATCATGTCTGTGAGTGAATGTGGGCGCGGGACAGGGGACACATTCACTGCACTGAAAACACCGTCGGCCAGAGCTGACTGTAACATTATTTGTTGGTTTATTTTTACAGAAACCGTGGGACATGTGGTGTGTAAAGTTAGTGTTTGTGGGTACTAATGAGTCGTGGGCACGTTCACTAACGTTATATTTGACATGAGCTGATTTTATTAGTGCGAGCCCTGCTCTGAGGCGGACTGTTTGTAGAAATGAACACTGGGCTGTGGGCATTTCATTACACTCATAACACCATCGGCTGTGGCCGGAATACTAGAAAATACTACACTGCTTATATGAATTTATCTGGGTTAGCAGCTACCTCAGAAACGGCATTTGTGTGCAGGCAAGCGTCCGCATCGGTCGAGCACTCTTTCTCCTCCGTTAGCTCACGCCAGCGAGCGAAGCAAAAGCTGGATCAATGTGTTAATCCTAGTCCTGGTTTTTAATTTGTCACTCTCTCCTTTTCTTTTTTAGTTTCCTCTGATAAAACCGTTGCCTTCTTCCTTGTAGCTGTTGTTCGGCATGACGAAAACATACAGACGGCAATCAAACGCTTGTTGAGCACTAACGTTAGATTCTGAGGAAGTTGTGGGTGGTGGGGGAAGTGACGTATGCCGTAAAGCGGTCGAATTTTGTAGTTCTTTTTGTGCTCGGGTTCCTACCCGAAGTTACAAAGTGCAAGTAAAAGCGATACAGACACCTTCAGGAGATGGCAGACGCGTCATTCAACCTATTGTAAGTCGATCTACCATCTCAATGGGTTTTGGTAATATATAATTATTATTTAATAGACCAGTATTTCCACCATGTTTCAAATTAAGGTGCCCCTTTCAACATCATAACTCATGTATAATCTATAAGAGTTTCTCAGTCAGATCTCGTGCTCCGAACTCAAAATTACAATATTTCTGACTCCATTTGAATTGCCTACATGCTTGCGGACCAGCTTCCATTAAGATGAATGGAAATTCATTAGTCCTCGTATCCAGACTAGGCATATGCTGTCCTTAAAGGAGAACTTTGGTCTAATAAAACTTTGGTAGCTAGTCAATCATTCTCTGAGATTTGTTTTCATGATAATCGAATGTAAAGAGTTTTATCTCTAAAAACTTAGTGTATAATGCTAGGACTGGGGGCATGTACTAAGTAAAAAGAAATCGCTAGTTTATACCACTAACAAGGCTCAAAATAGCCCCACACTAACACAGTAACATAATGAGGGTCCGTACATGCAAAACGAAGCATTGAGAACTTTGTAAGTGTACAGACCGTTTAATAAGAAGATACTTTATAAAGACGGTTCACTTCGCGTATACAGACAGGTTAGAGTTTGCACTGTATTAAAAGCTGAACTAAAATCGACAAACAAGATTCTAGCATAAGCTTCAATATTTTCAAGGTGCTTAGAAATAAAGTGCGAGATACAAATGATTGTGTCATCAGTACTGCGTCCTTGCTTAGCTAGGCAAACTGGGGTCCCACTTCATATTAAGTGGCTTTAAGTACTATGTACTTACATTGAAATTAATAATTTGATACAATGGACTTATTGTGTACATACATGTTTTTACATTGTACTTACATTTTAAAAATACCTGCATGTAATTAATTTATGTAATTACACTTGTAATTACAATGTTGAACCTACCCTTGCACCTTAACCTACCCTTAAACCGACCCATACCACCACACCTGTCCCTAATCTTACCCCTATCACACCTCAATAGCAGCAAAAGTGTTTTACAATACAACAGGAACACAATAACACATTGTACTTATTTTTTGATGTAAGTACATAGTACTTAAAGCCACTTAATATAAAGTGGGACCGAAAGTTTGAGCAGAAAGGCTGGACGGCCATCAGGGCCCGTGGCCTTGCCCGTGTGCACTTTGGTGAAAAGTTGTTGGATGCTAAATGGATCCACTTCCAGATAACTTATATCAGTGGCAGGGACTGCAAAACACTGTCACATTCTTTTGAAATTAATTTTTGATATGTTTTATCTGACCTCAAGGGCATCCAAGATGTAGGCGTCTTTGTTTCCACATTATTTTCAATTTTGACATTTTTCAGTCAAACCGTTGTTGTCTATCAGTCATACACTGGAGGCTAAGGGGGTCCACCAAAGAGCAGCACAGAGAAGTCCACATTAAGCATGATTTAATGACTCGTACATGTAAGTACACATTGATGGCCTAAGACACGAAACGAGCGGTTTGTGTGAGAAAACGAACATATTTATATCGTTTTACCTCTTTTAATCATAGCCATGACAAAATGATCTGACGGCACGGGCGCTTCGGTCTGGAAGTGATCGCTCACTAATTAACTAGTAAGCCGAATTTATGTTTGACTGGTTAACTAGTACACATTTGTGCTTTACCAGTTCGGTCCAGACGGCCATTAGTTTGTCAAAAAGATGATATTTCTACTATTAAAAACTAAATTCTTGATATCAACATTGATTTTGAATGGCACCTTTTAAATTTGAAATCCCACATTGGCCTGCCAACCACCAATAGACACAAGTAGTCAACTTATGGACTATATCGTATGTAAAAAGCAGGATATGAAAAGAGTAGTATGTCTGAATTCACAGTAGTCATAAAACAGTAGTCGAGAAGTACCAGATGATCTTCTTCCGCTGATGTTCAATGGACATCCAAAGGACTCTTTACTGTCCCATGAGGCCACAGGAGAGGAGTTGTGAATGGCAGTAAGTTAGTTCTTCATCAAATATAGCCACTATTTTAGCTCTCAAGAGATCTAAATAAGCAGCAGTAGTTCATCCTCTGTCTATAATGGAAAGCTGAAAGGACACAGATGTTGACTGGCTGATTGTCTCTCGCAGTGTTCTTCGAAGACCTCGGAGAGCAACGTCAAGCTGGATCTCGCAGATTCATGTACTCTCAGGATAAGCATCCCAATGCAAAAAGACTAATATTAGCATAGATGCCATTCAGTTGATTGAAAGCAGAGTTGTATGAGAGGTGTCTTCTTTTCCAGCGGACCTGAATAACAGCATAACCCTGGGATGAATGAACTAATTAGGCGTGTGCTTGACTGAAAAACAAGTCTTTAGTCACGGCGTAAGCTGAGAAAGTGAGTCCTGAACAGTGCTAAGCCAAAGCATCTGCCTCCTGTTGTGCATCATGCTGTGATCATATAGTGAACGTGATGGATTATAGTGTGTCATTAATGAGGGACTAAACCATTAAACGCTCTGTATGTAAGTTAATGAGCAAAGCTTTAAACACAGCTGGTTCACTCAGGAATTTTAAGGCTTTTTAGATTTAAGTAAGCTGAAAATGATGATTGGGTTAAACGGACCATAAAGTATCATTCTGTCATCGTTCAAACCTCTGAGTTTCTTTCTTCTATTGAAAATGAAAAACACATTGTGAGGAATGTTTTTTTTCCCGGCCTATACAATGAAAGTCAGTGGTTACCAGCAGTGTTAAAAAATCTTTTATATTCCACAGAACAAACAAAGTCAAATAATTTTGGAACAACACCGTAAATTATGACAGAATGATAATTTTTGGGTCAACTAACCTTTTAAGTGATGAAAGAAAACTAATATGTGTATGATCATACTTTTGAAAAATTGTTACAGATGGTTGTATAATGGGAACATGAAAACAAACCGAATATTAGGAACGTTCCAGTCAATGAAAGGACGCCTGCTGACCCTCTTTTGAAATGTATTATATTTACGTCTGTTCTTTTATGTTTTATTATTAACATACATATTTGAATTTACAATCTTCACTCGGTTTTATTTCAATTAAACGTTTAAGCACATTTAACACCAAACAGGAGCCCGTCAGGAGTTAGACGTGTTGTTTTAGGGGCTTTTTTCAAATCCACAAACAATCCAAAACCACCAATGGGCGACTTCACTCGGAGAGAAAAGCGAGCAGGGCCCTGTTGGATATGTAGTTTTAATATCGGCTCTTGGCAGCAAAAGAGCGTGGGGAAGAATCTTGCATAAAACTGCAAGTACCGGCTTCAACTGAAAGTCTCCGCGCATGCGCAGAGAAGCGGCGTCGTCAAATGTTTTGTTTCCACGCCATATTTGTTAGCCGGCTAGCGCTCGCTCCAGAGGCGTCGGACGTGAGCTCGGCACAATCCGAAATCATCGGTGCTTTCATGAGGAGTATCGACTCCATAACAGCATTTCCCCGTGCATATACGCGTCTGTGCTTGCTTAGTCAACGTTTTGGCCCGAAGGTCAACGCAGAATTTGAATAAAAACGAATCGATTGGGTCGTGTTCCCTTGAGATCGTAGCAGGGGGCTTTCGCTGTTCGAGCGGATTATTTCTTCTCGCCACGTTCTTTTTTTAATAACCCCCCCCAAATCTCTCGCTATAAGATGGCGTGTGGAGCTACTCTGAAAAGGACTATGGATTTCGACCCTCTGCTGAACCAGGCGTCCCCGAAGAGGAGGAGGTGCGCGCCCCTGTCTCCGTCCAGCTCGAGCGCGTCCCCGCAGAAGTACCTGCGCATGGAGCCCTCGCCCTTCGGCAGGGTGTCCTCCGCACTCACCACAGGTCAGTGTGTGTGTGTCTTCAGACCTCACTTCTTCAGACACTCCAGACTGTGTGTGTGTGTGTGGACGTGTGAAATCATGCTAAAACTCCCTGGACGGGGGTAACGTTACTCCTGTTATCTGGCGACATCATCAAAACACACTAGGCTAAATGTAAGCCTCGTTATTGCAGATACTCTCCGTTTACACTGTAAACTAATGTTAGAGCATCAAACCGTAGCGAGTTTTTCCGGATCGACACGGGCCAGGAATGCTGCTAACTGTACAGACAGATGTTTAATAACTCGGGCTTCAGACAGATTGTGTTGTGTGCCACGATTATTGACCATGTTTGAGAAATACGTTAAAATAGTTTATTTATTAACTGTCATTATCGGTGTATTAGCAGCATTATTGTTTGTGATGTTGATAAGGGGGTCGGTTTTGGCGTCCTGTGTGTTCCGTCATGGACCGGAAGTGACGTCGACCTCAGCGGTCTGGTTCAGGCAGGGGGGCTTTTCTTTGTTTTGTTTTTGAGACGCTGAATAATGTCCGTCAGTGGGCGAGGAGTCACAGCTGTGTGTGTGTGTGTCATTATAAATACTGCAACAGTGGTTTCCGGAAGTAAAAACACGACGTATAAGGGAAGCTGCGCTAGTTTTTCTAATATAATGTGACGTTTATCCGAGTGAAACTGTGGTGACAAATCATGTCCTCGAAATCGGGTCTCCATTAGGACCCCAAGGTACTCTCTTTAGCGCCTGATTACAATTCCTGCAAAATCGCACACTAAATGATGCTTGAAGTTGAACTACGTTATAATGACCTTTAATGTGTGCACCACTTGGCTTATGTACTACTAGCATAGCACACAGTTACTCAATTAACCTGATAGCTTAGTTTATAAACATATTTGCTTTTACCCGACATTATTCACAATCATCTTTAATGTAATTGTATTAAATGTTCATTTTTTAAAAATAATATAATGTTCAATTATTCACTTTAAAGGCTATTATTACTCAATGAATACAGTTTATTGAATTTGTTTTATTGTGCACTGTATAGTAACCTATACATTTTAAGTTAATATCGTTTGTACTTAAAGGGATACTCCACTCTTTTGGGTAAATAGGCTCATTTTACAACTCCCCCAGAGTTAAACACTTGGCCCTTTTCGAATCCATTCAGCCGGTTTTCTGATATTTAGAAGAATTTCAGTAACCAGACAGTTTCCGGTCCCATTGACTTCCATAGTATATGGTAAAAAAGGTGGAGTATCCCTTTAAACTAATCTTTGAATATCTAATAAACATTTAATTTCCCATACATTGCAGGCTTAAACTCCCACACTCTGTCTCTCTCACACTCACACACACACACTCTGGAACTGTTTGATTGACAAACTGAACTGTTGATTTCAAGCTATCCTGCTCTATATTATGTTTCCCAGTCTTTCATATTCATGTCATTTTCACTGTGTGTTAGATTAGCAGTGTGTATGTAGATACAAAATTGAACCAGTTTAATTATGTAATATTAATGTTCGGCACACTATCACAGACAGTATAAGCTCAAGCACTTTCAGCTGTAAGTCTTTGGTTTATTTCTTCTCTTGGGTCGTTTCATAGCAGAAACTAATGCCTGGCAAACTGGGATGAATGTTTCAGCGAGTTGAGAATAGTGAACTGGAGTTCTTCCCATGTGATCATGTTCTGGAGTCGCTGTATGATTGTGAATGCTTTGCTTTTCTCTCGCAGAGCAAATCCTGAGCAACATCAAGCAGGAGTACAAGCGCATGCAGAAGCGGAGACACCTGGAGAGCAGCTTCCAGCAGAGCGAGTCCGTGTGTGGGCTCGAGTCCGGGCCGCACGCCTCCTCCAGCACAGGTACTGCCGGACGCCACTCGGGCCAAGCCTGTGCTCATCTGCGTACTTCCTTTAAAATAAACGCTCTCCGTCCACACTGGCGTACTCCCACGTCTCAGTCTGGATGAGAAACCTTTGGGAAACGTCTGAAAATGCTAAATTCTCCTTTACTGCGCATGCGTAAAAGCTCACTGATGATACCGACGGAAAAATAAAAGTTATTGTGCAATTCTTCTGGCGGGATCATTTTATTTAGTAAAATATCTCAGCGTTTTTACTAGGGTCTGCGTCACACACTCACCATTATATGTTTGGTCGAAAACGCTAAAACTGCGCTCATGTTTCGCTGCAGGACAGCAAATGTGAGTGAATTCTGTCATCTTCGCAGGACTGTGATGTGTAGTAACATATCTTTAGCGACCGTGTGAAAGTGGATAGCATTACAGGCACAATCCCGGTATAAACATGAATGTCTATTGGTACAATATGCGTCACATGACAGTATAAATATAAACTTGCACATCATTGTTTTTAAATGCCTCTGGCTTCACAGTCCACACTCAAACACGAAATCTGCTGTGAGGAGCTTCTTCAAAAAGCTTAGAAACCGGTGCCTCAGTCTGGATAGGCCCTCGGCGCCGGCGTACTCCAGATCACGCTCCGTGTGTGTGCGCCGTTCTCTGCTCTTCTGAACCGGACACCGCTAGGCCGTGATTTCACCCAAATTTAAGAAACCGTAGATGATGGTGCGTTTTTGGTCCCCAGAGGGTTACACATGCTGTTAAAAGAAGTGTTTTGGTCCATCGGATTACGAGTGGACGACACTACGTGTAAACGGGCTCAAGTGGTTTGAGCTTGTCCACTTTCCACCTCTTCCGGATGGCTTTCGTAGTGTAGATGCCTCAGTGGTCGAGTATGTCATTTCCTGGAGATGCATGTCAAGAAGTTAACTGCCTTTTGATAATTAGGGCTATCACAAAAAATGTTTATTTTGGTATCAAATAGGGCTGAAAAAAAAATTATCACGATCATTTTTTTTTTTATATCAGTCGATATCGATAATTATCACGCTATATGTCAAATATTTATTTTTTTCAAGTTTCAAGGCAGATTTTTGCAACAAAGTGAAAGTTGTATAAACCAGAGTGTTAATTGTGTTTTTAAACTACTCTTTAAATTTATGTTCATTAACAAAAACAGTAACATCTTTTCTTTTTTTTTCTTTTTTCTTATGTAACAACTACATTTTTATTTGGTAAAAAGTAATATTCTGACTGTTTGAGTTGTATTCAAGTTAACCGTTGGTCATTCAGTATCATGCATTTAGATCATGATAACCACAGATAAAACCAGATAACTTAGCTCCTCACTATCATGGCATAACTTTATGGTTTCTGTATTTTTTGTATGAAAAACAGTAGCCTAACAGCTAAAAGTAAATACATTATTAAATACTGTACTTATATTCCATTAGTCATAATACATTGTCAACATTGATATTATTATACAATTCAGTATGTATATCCCACATTTCATGGTGCAGAAATATTACCAGGCTAACCTTACAGTAAATCCATGGTAGGCTAAATGGATTCAGTATCAATTCAGATTGTGACTGTATTGCTGCACACAGTGTTTCTCCTTTTTGTCAGCGGTGTTTCATCTGCCTTTAAACTGGTTTAAACTTGACATTTGTGTTCTTCGCTGAACTCAAGTGCTTCTCACTGGATCTCATGAACAAAACGATGAGAGGCGCGTCTGCGTGAGCTCACACTCCGCTCAATGCACTGCCGTTTGGACTTTGACCCGAGCGGATAAATGCTCCGTGTGGCGCGCGCGGTTTAAATGAGTTTCGTTCCGCTTTTTTGACGCATAAACATTATTGAACATTTATCGACCTCTTGATATCGTTTTATCGAGGAAAATTATATCGCGATAATTATCGTTTTAGCGCCCAGCCCTAGTATCAAACAAAAATCCTACCGGTGCACCCCTCGTTGAAGAATTGATTATAGGCTAATGTTATTTTCATGCTTAAAGGATGTGGTGAATATAGCGTCCAGTACGCAGCGAGTGTCTGCTTCTGATGATGGTTGACCCAGGACTGACGCAGCGCTCTGTCTCCCGCAGGCGTGTCCTCCGGGGCCGTGTCCCCGTCCCGCCGCGAGCAGCCGCTGTTCACGCTGAAGCAGGTGGGCATGATCTGCGAGCGGCTGCTGAAGGAGCGCGAGGAGAAGGTGCGGGAAGAGTACGACGAGATCCTCACCACCAAACTCGCAGGTATCCGCTGTCGAGAATACATCCATCCCTGAGGATCACATGCTCTTACAGGGATAACCCACAAAAAATGAGAGATCACATGATTAACTCTCCCTCAACAGACCAACAGAGTTATATTATAAACTGTCCTGGCTCGTGGACGGCCGTTACCAGAAGCCAGTAATTATAGTTTATAAGAGATTGTTCTTCAGATGGCCTTTATTAAAGGGTTAGTTCACTTTGTATTTTCAGTTTTGATATTTTTAGGTCAAACCGTTCTTGTCTGTCAGTCATATAATGGAGGTCTATGGTCACCACCTCAAAGAGCATGCACAGAGAAGTCCAAATTAAACATGATTTAATGACTCGTAAATGTAAGTACACACTGACGGCCTAAGACACGAAACGAGCGGTTTGTGTGAGAAAACCAACAGTGTTTATATCGTTTAGTAAAAGGTAAAACTTCCAAAATCTCCGTGTAAATATTGAGTGACGTCACACGCGAGCGATCACTTCCCGCGTAACATTGAACTGATTCAGTTCGGTTCAGTTGGACATTGAACAACTGATTCAGATCACTGTGATTACACGAGGTAAAAACGATATAAACACTGTTGGTTTTCTCACACAAACCGCTCGTTTCGTGTCTTAGGCCATCAATGTGTACTTACATTTACGAGTCATTAAATCATGTGTAATTTGGACTTCTCTGTGCATGCTCTTTGGTGGACCCCCTTAGCCTCCAGTGTATGACTGACAACAACGGTTTGACTGAAAAATGTCAAAATTGAAAGTACTGTGGAAAGACACCTACATCTCGGATGCGCTTGAGTTAAGATAAAACATACCAAAAAATAATTTCAAAGTGAACTATCCCTTTAACCCATGGAGGCGTGTGGATTTACTTTAATCATTGATTGATGCACTTTGTTGGGCTTCAAAATGTCATCCCTTTATAAAGCTGGAAAGAGGCAGGACATGTTTGATATAACTCTGAAAGAATAAAGTCATACACTGGCTTGAGGGAGAGTAAATCATGGGATTATTCTCGTTTTCGTGAGCTATCCTATTTGTAGACGACAGCATAATTTGATTTGAAAACAAAGCTCGACCCAGCTGCAGTGTTTTAACCTGAAACGCTGGCGAAGGCGATCTCCAGCGCTGGCGGATCCGATTACTGATGGCGTTGTGTGTGTGTTCTTGTCTTCCAGAGCAGTACGATGCGTTCGTGAAGTTCACCCATGACCAGCTGATGAGGCGGTTTGGAGAGCAGCCTGCCAGCTGTACGTGTCCTCTCTCTCTCTCTCTCTCTCTCTGCTCTCGTGTGTGTGTGTGTGTGCTGATTCTGCTGTTGTTGTGTGCAGATGTGTCCTGAGCGGGCCGTGCTGGGGCGTGGTGGTGCTCGTGTCCTGTGGTTGGTGCCGTGTCCAGTGGATCTGTGCCTGCGTGAGCTCCTGACGCTCCTGACGGCTGGGTCTCCAGCAGTGCCAATCGCATCTTTCCCCCGCTGGGCTTCTGTCAGTGCGTAACCACTCTCTCTCTCTCACTCTCTCTCTCTCTCTCAGCAGCTGGAGTGCTTCCTGCCCGCTCCTCAACGCCCATATATGGACCTGCTCAATCAGTGGCTGTGTGTCTCTCCATCTGAACCCTGGATATTTATTAGGCTTCGACCAGGCCTTTTATACAGTCACCTGTCATTTCATCCGCAACCTTTTTCCTCTGGTTTTGTAAAATGCCTTTTATTTACTGCAAATGATGATAAATGTGAGAGTGTGTGAGAAACTTTGGGACGGTGTGTCTTGGAGACTGCTGTTCATAGCTTTGTGTAAATACATCCTGACGCTCATCTGGAGTTTCCCTGTACAAATCCAATACTGCATTTATTTTGATTAAATCTGTTTTCATGCTTTGTATTTATTTTAATTTTTTTATTTCCTGTTTTTTTTTTTGTTTTTGCCCCTTTCCTCTGCATTATGGTTTTACTGCCCCTGTAGTTCAAATGACTTTATGTTGAAAAAGTATACACAAATAAACTGTTTACATAACTAGTGTTCTTTCTTGCAAGTCAGGGTTCCTGGGTGCGCACACACACACACACACACACACACACACACACACTGGTTTGGTTTTAACTTGAAAACGAAATAAACAGAACAGTTCTCATCTATGATTGCAGCTTTAACTAAGCCCCACCCCTTTGTCGAAGCACCGCCCCTGAAGGATGTCTGCAAAATGATTGACAGACACCGTAGGGGAGAAAATTGGTGTCTTTTATCTGTGACACCAGAGGAAGTGCACCTTAAATTAGAAAAGAACAAATGAAGAAAACAAATTAACCAAAGTCTGGCTAGAAATGCAGTTTTCGACATATCAGACAAGATTTGTGCATACTGTAAAAAAAAAAAAAAAAGTTTTGGAAATAGTTTAAATTGTTTATGTTACAATACATTTTTTTGTTATTCTATTAAATTTTTATTATTTATTTAAATATATATATATATATATTTGTAATTTAAATTGTTAATAATTACCAATACCAATTTTTGTTATGTTTTTTAAAGAACCTGTCCCACAATTCAACTATCAGATACTACATTTTTATCTGTTTTTATATAATCCATGTCTAGATGGCGTTTATTCGACACATGCCGTTTAATAGCTGTATATCACTGCCGCCTCACACACTCATCTCCGACTGATGACGGAACACTTCTCATATTGACCATTAAAGCTTTTTCTGTAAAGCTCCTTTGCTGTATTAATAAACTTGAATTGAATTAATAAGCTTTTATGTTCACCTATGTAAAGTGTGTAGTGTATATTTTCCATGACGATTTGTACTACCAGCAACAATATATAAATTTGTGTGTGTGTGTGTATATATATATATATATATATATATATATATATATATATTATATATATATATATATATATATATTAAAAGGGCTGGCTATTTTTGATCCAGAACACCAAACTAGGTAAGGATTTAACACAGCGGGGTTACTTCATTCATTAAAATGTTAATACAGCAGAAGAATAGGGAAAAATACTGCTTGTTGAGCTCTTCCACACACCTATTATGGAGTTTTGAAAATTATGTAGTGTGTGTAACATGGATCTAAGTGAACAAAAACATCCTGCAAAGTTTTATAAATGAAAGTTCACCATAAAAAATGTAACTCATTGCGCGCGCAGACACCAGGGTAATATTTGGATCAGCAACCTGTAAATACTATTGGTAATTGTTGCTTTTATGTATTTGTGTGTGTTGTGTAAAAGTTAAACATGACATACAAAATTAAATATAAAAATATAGCATATTTTAGATAAATAGCGATACAAAGAAGTTTTATTTCATTTATTTTGTAGCCGAGCTGTGGCGAAGCTAGAATGAATAACGAAGTGTGCAATTTTTATTTATTATTGTTATTATTATTATTATTTATTTATTTATTTTTTACGAAGTGTGCAATTAAAGTGCGGAGAAATAGAGAGAAATACGTGATGGTTCGGAGGAGCCATAGACATATACACTAGACCTCACCTTGGGGCTCTAAGCATGCGTCAAAACCGCCGCCATCTTGGAACAGGGGTCTTGTCATAGGAAGTAGCTAGGTAACGCTGCTATCTTTGCCTTTACGTCGAATTCATTGATGGTGGCGGACTTTTGTGCAGTGTATGATGTTCACGGATGAAATCTGAACTAGTGTGACGGTCCTCTATTTATTACTCTTGTTGTGTATATGGAACATCTGCACAAGGGGAAACCAAAACGAATCAGGAGTGGCATGACATCGCAAACAGAGAATAAAACACAGCCCACAGCAGTTACCAGAAATTCTGCTCTTTTTTATTAACTGATTCCAGTGTGATCGTATAGTGGAATGTTTGAATGAAATGTTTCACAATTCGTTGTCTTTCCCACAGAAAAATGTGAAATAAATAAAATAAAATAAATAAAATCTCTGACTTAAGTATTTCTGCCATATGAAACAGTTTATAAAACAGCAAATTCTTTTCAACAGGAATATTGCTGTTATAACGTACATTTTCCACATAACAAAAATAAACATCAAATTCAGTATTACCTGCACAAGGGGAAACCAAAACAAATCAGGAGTGGCATGACATCGCAAACAGAGAATAAAACACAGCCCTACACAACACACAGTAAATCAGATGGAGGAATATCATTAGCGGCAGCCATGCAACATGTGCTACATATAACATTAAACTCTAAACTAGTGACTCACTCAACATCAGACAAACAGCATACATCTCTTAATTACATTATTACAAAAATACAGTGAAATAAACATTGTGTAGTGATATTTAAGGCACTTAGGCTATTTTTGTCTCTGCAGCGTTTAACATGCGACTTACCACAGCAGTTACCAGAAATTCTGCTGTGGATTACCCAGAATTCGCTATTTTTAACACCGTGGCGCAATACCAAGTGACGCCAGCAGATGGCGCTTACCCCATTTAAGCAGGAATTTAACTATATACAAACCGTTACATACACCCCCCTAAATTTCTGCTAAATCGGGGTAGCGTATCCAAAACAGAGAAAACAAAAGAAAGAAGGGGAAAAGAGAAAGAGAAAAAAAAACATTTTTTAAACAAATGAATGAATTACCTTGAGCGTTAATGTCTTATAGTCAGTTACAAAACTCCTCCTACAGAGATATGCAAGGATAGGGTGGTACCAAACCCTAAACCTTAACATAGATACAAGAGATGCCGTTTACACCTCTCCTAATTGATACAGCTCAAAAACTCCAAAAAAAAAATGGAGTATCTGTCTACACCCAGGAACAGAATTACTCAAAAGGTACATTATAAAGTCTCAGGCTACACTGCAAAAACATGTCTCATTAGAGTAACAAAAGAACTCACTGAAGATCTTGAATCTTCCACAACCTGGTCATTCATCTCACAAATTAATCTCTTTGGAGGTTTAATGGTCCTACCAATCCTAGTCATAGTCATGCCTCGCCTAGGCTGATTAACTACAGGCTCATCTGATTCTGAGTCTACACTACTGGGAACATGTGAGTGTGGATCAGCTGGAGAGTCTGTGGGGAGCTGTACGGAGTGACTGTGGGCAGACTGATCATCTAGAAATGAAGACTGGCTCACATCCCTGTCCTGGCCAGTACATCCATGACTGTCGTCGACAACATCATCCACATGAGTATTCTCTACTGGGTTAGATGAGCTGGGAATCATGACAACAACCTCATCAAGTTCAGCATTCTCTCCAGATTGCAAAATCCACCGCAATGTTTTTTCATCGCTGTCGAGTTGTTCACAAGGCAGAGGATCACCCTGATCGCTTCGAGCTCCAACTGACAGAGAATCAGACGACAGGTCAACTTCATGGTCTCTCAACAGGAAACTGACAGGAAGGAGCAAGTTCCGATGAACTGTTTTTTCTTTGCCAGTGACTGTGTCCTTTACACGGTAGACATTGATTGCCGATCTTACTGACAACACTTCGTAAGCCGTGGACTCCCATTTGTCTGCAACTTTCCGTTTTCCTCTCTCGCCTCTGTTTGCCAACAAAACCCTGTCACCAACAGTCAATGGAGAGCCTTTTACCTTACGGTCGTAGAGCTTAGCATGACGAGCCTGTTCAGCTGAACTGTGCCTCTGAGCAACCTTTGCTGCTTCACTCAAGTCTCTTTTGAGATTGGACACGAACTCTGAATGGGTAATGACAAGATCATTCTTTAGAACGTGTTGAAACATTACATCAATCGGAAGTCTGGAATCCTCCCAAATAAGGTAAAATGGTGCAAAGCCGGTTGTTTCGTGGACAGTACAGTTATAACAGAAAGTCAGCACTCTTAATGACTGGGGCCACTTTGCTTTGGACTTGGGGGGTAAAGCTCTGATCATGCTCCCCAAGGTCCTGTTGAAACGCTCTGTGATCCCATTACCCATCGGGTGGTAAGGGGTAGTGTGAGATTTCTTTATCTCAGCCATATCCAACAGTTCCTTGATGAGCTTACTCGTGAAGTTAGCCCCCTGGTCAGAATGCACGCGCTTCGGGAAGCCATATATGCAGAAAATATCATCCCATAAACGGCGGGCCACTTGTTTTGCTGACTGGTTCTTACAAGGAAAAGCAAAGGCCATTTTGGTGAAGTGATCCGTCGCTACGAGAACATCAACAGACTTATCTCCCTGCTCCGCTGACCAGAAATCAATACAAATCAATTCCATGGGCTCTGTGGTGTGAATGTTCTCCAAAGGAGCACGAGCATCCGGCTCTGGCGTCTTACCAACAATGCAACGTTTGCAGTTTCTGACATAATGCACAATATCATGCGCCATACCTGTCCAAAAAAAGCGGTGCCTGGCCAATGACAGTGTACGTGAGCGTCCTTGGTGACCTGCGGCATCGTGTATGCCATGGAGAACTTGTTGTTTTAAGCAATCTGGTACAATGAACTGATAGAGCTGCTTGTTCATGTTGTGATCTCTCTTCACTTTAAATAGCATACCATCTTGCAGAGTGAGTTTGTTCCAGTGCTTGAGCAGCTTGATTACACTACGAGGCTCCTTTGCACGCTCACGTTTGTCAGGTCTCTTGTGTCTCCGGATATAGTAAACCACTCTACTCACGGTGCCGTCTTGCTCCTGCATAGTCAGAAGAGTGCTTTTAGGCAGAGCAGTGGTGCAATCCTCCTTCTCCAAATGAGGGATGACCCCCGTTCCCATTACACGACTTGTCCCACCAGAGCAGTGTGCATCCAAGAGGGCGGAGATTTCCTGCGATGTTAACTTGCCCTGAGAAAGTGTGAGGGAGAGGTCAGAGCCTGGTTCAACATCCGTACTCACAAGTTGACAGTTGTTTGTGCATCTGAAAGCATCTTGAACTGTTTCGTCCCTCACACCATTCAGTTGATTTAACAAAGCATGGTATGGCTCTGTCACAAGGCGATGGCTGACACAGGACTTGACAAAAGGCTCCCGGCTGAGTGCATCTGCCACTATGTTCTTAGCTCCTGGCACATACTTCAGATCGAAACTATAG